GTGCGGCCCATGCGGAGCGGGCGCGGCCACGTGGAGGCCCCCGAAGCCTCCGGTGACCCCCCGGGTGGGTCACCCTCCCAGTAACGCGCGTTCGGTTTTCCCCCCCCGGTGCCGCAGGTGCTGGTGATCGATGGGCGCGGACACCTCCTGGGTCGGCTGGCGGCCATCGTGGCCAAGCAGGTGCTGCTGGGTGAGTCCAGGAACCCTCCTGAGACCCCCCCCCCCCCGGGACCCCCTTGGAGACCCCCCCCGGACACCCCTGAGTTCCCCCCGCGCCGTGATGAGCCCCTTAGGCTGTGGAGCGTCACGGCAATGAGAGCCGCCCTCATGCACTACCAGCTGAGCGTGGGGGGCACCGCGGGGGTCCCGGGGGGGGTTCCCGTGCCCGTCCCTGACCTCCCCCGTGTCTCCGCAGGGCGCCGCGTGGTTGTGGTTCGGTGCGAGGGGATCAACATCTCCGGCAACTTCTACCGCAACAAACGTGAGTCTGGGGGGGTTTGGGGGAGTGAAACCCCCCTGTGGGTCCCGGAGGAATTCCGGGGAGTTCCCGAACCCCTTCCTCCACCCGAGGTGGCTGTTTAACGCCCTTTTCCTCCCCTCTTTCTCCCAGTGAAGTTCCTGGCGTTCCTGCGCAAGAGGATGAACACCAACCCCTCCCGGGGGCCCTTCCACTTCCGCGCCCCGAGCCGCATCTTCTGGCGCACCGTCAGGGGTGAGTGGGGGTCCGGGGACCCTCCCCCAGAGCTGGGGGCACCCCCTGACCCCCTGTTTTCTTCCCCTAAAAACCCAGGGATGTTGCCCCACAAGACCAAGCGGGGCCAGGCGGCGTTGGAGCGGCTCAAGGTGTTCGACGGGATCCCTCCCCCCTACGACAAGGTGGGAACACCTCCCCAAAAAACCAGACCGGGGCCACCAGACCCACCCAACCCTCTGTATTCCTGTTGGTCCCGTGCCCCCCCCAAAATTCCAGTGGTACCCCCTGCAAACCCATCCCCCGTGAACCCCCCTGGCTGCTCCCAAACCCACCTTAACCATCCCAAAATTGGCCTGGGACCCTCGGACTCTGACCAGGGCTCCCTGAGTTGCCCCCTGGACCCCCCCTTTCAGTGCTATGGGTTGCCAAATCCCTTTGGAACACCCCCCAAATTCCCTCCGGGACCCCCCAACACCCCCCTGTGTCAATGATGTCACATTTACCTACATTGTCCGAGGCTTTCCTGAGAGAAACCAAAGCACTGAGACACTGGCGGGGGGGAACCCCTCAACTCCCTTCCTGGGACCCTCCCTCTCACTCCCAAACCCCTTGGGACCCCTCAGTGGCCCCCCAAATCTCCTGTGACCCCCTAAAATCCCCCCCCTCTCTCTCCAGCGCAAGCGCATGGTGGTCCCGGCCGCGCTCAAGATCATCCGGCTCAAACCCACGCGCAAGGTGAGTGTTGAGGGGGGTCTGGGGGTGTTTCCTGGGGGCCTGGGGACCCCCCTGAGCACCCCCTGCCCCCCCAGTTCGCGGTGCTGGGCCGGCTGGCCCACGAGGTGGGCTGGAAGTACCGGGAGGTGACGGAGGTGCTGGAGGAGAAGCGGAAGGAGAAGGCCAAGCTGCGCTACGACAAGAAGAAGAAGCTGATGGTAAA